CGACGACGACGACGACGACGACGACGACGACGACGGACGACGACGACGACGACGACGACGACGACGACGACGACGACGACGACGACGACGACGACGACGACGACGACGACGACGACGACGACGACGACGACGACGACGACGACGACGACGACGACGACGACGACGACGACGACGTTGACGCACTGCGCAGGCCCCATGGGGGAGGGGGGCGGCTGCGCAGGCCCGGTGACGACGACGACGACGATCCGAGCAAGGCGGGCAGTCCTCCTCCCCCCCTCTGGGGTGGTCTCTGTAGCGTCGTCGACGACGACGACCACGACAACGACGACTACGACGACGACGACGACGACGACGACGACGACGACGACGACGACGACGACGCGGACGACGACGACGACGTGGACGACGACGTGGACGACGACGACGACGACGACGACGACGACGACGACGACGACGACGACAACGACGCCTGAGAGAGGGAGAAACAAAACGCCTCGGATGTGTACGACCCCCAGAACAACTTCTAGAATAAAGGCAATCACTGTTCTGAGGCTGTCACGCTAGGGGTGCACGATCCCCTCGGCGGCACCCGCGACGACCCCCTGGCGCGCGTGATTTAAAAAGTTTCGCGCCTCGCGGGGTCTATTCATCAGCTCAAGGGAGGGGAGGTTACGCATTTGTTAATCGCAAGCTGACACCGCAAAAGGGCAGTCAAAAAGAGCGCATCGACTACACTGTCACACCGACAAACAACATGGACACCGTAAAGGACGCCGCGAACATCGAGAACCTCGATGGTCCAAGAAGACGAAAACCACCTGCCAGCCCTGATGAAGCAGTCCTGCGTGGCCATTTCTCATAACCCAACGCAGCAGAAGACTGTCAAAGACGACTTGAACAATATCGACCGGCACAACTGGGAGTGCGACATCAATGGTCACGCCCTCCAACTCAGCCATAAAGCATGGGAGACCGGGGAACACAACAAAAAACTACTAGCAAGAGGCAGAGCGGAAACGCAAACCGCACATCACAGCCATCAATTTCACACTCCTGCGGGCCCGACGTGCATGCCAGAGACCATATCGAGCATGGAAAGACGCCCCCTGCCCCACCAAATGCTCGCACTCCAACAGCTAAGCTGTCATACCAAGTCACCGCAGCCACGATCTGCATCATAACCGCCAAAAACGCCAGGCAACACTCGACCACGCAAACCAAACTCATTTACACAGGACTACAAGTAGTCAGCCACCAGGTGGAGCACGACAAGCTGCACTGGGCCAACAAGCCATTCATTCAGCAGTCCAACAAGCAATTCGTTTCGAGGGTACGCTCTGACAAGAATGACTTCCTCAACAGCTACGCCGGCAGCATCAAGGAGGCGAACGACCCACAGGACTCAACTGCGGAATTGCACGGGGCAAAGAATGCACTGCGATTGGGGTGCGCCCCCCCGGAAAGATGACCGAGCACCGCTACTCCGACGAAGCCGCAAGTGAACCCACTTCGAGCGCGCAAGCACAAGCAAAGGAGGAGCTAGACAATTTCGCAATTGCGGATCACACCAAGATTCGCAAACTGGACCACATTGCAAAAACCTACCAGGAGAGGCCATCAGCTCCCGCGCCCACGTGAACACGCCTCTTTCCAGCGCTGTCAGCCAGTGCGAGCTGGCCGCGTTGCCAAGGCCGAACCTCACAGACAAGGGAGATCTGACGACATCACCGACGACAGGCGCCGCAGCGCCAGCACAGAGATGGCTCGACTCTAACACCCACTGATGTTCAAATCACAGCTGCCCACGGTGGAACCCGATATTTAAACCAGGCAGATGGCCAGCATCACCCGCCAAGAACGCGTCAACAGCCAGCACCTTGGTGACAGGATGATGACACTGAAAACGTGGAAGCCAACAGGGACTTCCACACTAAGCCAAGGCAGCTCTCTGCGACCCTACCACACGAAGCACGACACACCACCCCCACCGACATCAACATCATGAAGACCAGAGGGGACAATGGTGCACTACTTTTCCACCGCCTCCAGGACACTTTCCACACGGTTGAACTCGATGCTCCAGACAAACTGCCCACCAGCGACGACGACTCCCGAGGCCTGCTGGACGACATGGGGATACCATAAATGATACAACCCGTTCTCAACATAGACGATTGCACTTGCTGGTCCTTCGAAAGACGCCCACACGGACCTCCTAGTGATAACGCGAAAGTCCACACAGATCCTGCACCCACACACGGGCACCTGACCAGGTCCATCACTGTCCGGCTTCTGGCACGACGTCGCTTTTTCCGCATCACCAAAGCAACAGCCGAGAACATGATCGAGTAAGGTGCCCACTGCAACTTCGACCACGACAACGACGAGCGACCAACCTTCGCACAAGGCTGACAGGCAAGCCCAGGTCACGACGCGGCCGCCTCACTCAAAGGGGCCTCCTTCGTAGACGACCTGGCCGCCAGCTCCAACACAAATCCCAGTAACGCCGCTACCACGGCGACCGGGCCCCCACAGATCGCTGCGTCGAGCGGGCGCAAAGCATGTCACCCAACGACAAAAAGTCACAGATCATGCGCGCGATGCTCGGCACCGGCTCGAGGACGACCAAGTCGCGCAGAAAAAAAAGGGCGCGACCAGCAGACACAGCACATACACCGACAACAACTGTTGAGCTTGTGCTATCACCATGACAGCCACGATGGGCCCGGAGATCAAGAAGAGGACCCACAAGGCGACTGTGAGCCAAAGGCCGCTACGTAGACAAACCTGTCCACCGCAAAAAACATCTTGACTGACACGAGACCGCTCTACAACGACCCCCTGGTCCTGTCCACTCAGGCACACAACGACCACGTCCGGAACAACCTCGCCGAGACCGACTATAGGGCGCGACACTTGCCACCAAGTACAGGAAGAGGCGCAGACAATTACTGGCCACCACGCCTCCAACAGCAGCGCGGACAAGGTATCCAACCAGAGTATCCAATCCAACCCGAGGCGCTGAGCGAGGTGGACAAGGGTGACCCACGATTTACCACGCCTGCCACCACGTTGGCCAACCTTCCCTTGTAGACATCAGAATCAGCTGAGCGTCCGACTACTTGCACCAGGCGGGGAGACCAACATCAACAACCGCCCCTCGAGGAGCGCCCCGTGCCATACGAGACAAACTGGGCAGGCGAAACGGAGCAGTCAAACAATCGTACCTACGAGGACAAGAAGACTATGCGTATCAGGAACGAGGGTATCAAGAGAGGGGCACGTACCAGAGCAACACGTAGATGTCAACAACACCTAGCACGCACCACCACCGCCCAAGACCAGACCTACGTGGTACCAGTGCAGAACGACCTTCATCAGGAAAAGCGCCGACGACGCCCACCCCTGGAAGCAACACAAAAGTAGGGCACACCCTAGATAGAGGGAAACGTGGGCCACTGTCTACAACGCAGCTGTCACCACCACACCAGCGTGGGACTCACCAAACACCTCCCGGCAACACCCTCACGCGCGACACCATCGATGACACCGGGGCCAACCTGCAACGACGACACGGCAGACGAAAGACGCGAAAACATACGCGCAACCCCACAAAGCAACATCAAAGCAAGGAGACCGCCAGACCACGCCAACATCGCGCGCGGCAAGACAAACGCCCGACCGACACAACGACAGGACAGACACGCAGCTCACGGTAAGATGCCACCGGTTGCGCCACCAGCCCTTGACCCCGAAGCCTGCACTGCAAATCAGAGATACAGCTGCCGATGGGAGAGCCCACGCGCTCCGTCCTCCAACTTTGAACGCATGAAAAGCGACCACCGCCCCCCACATGAAAAACTTTAGGTCCATCTTACACTGAACCGACGACCCTCCTCACGTGCAAGATGCGCGCCGCTCGGTCGGTTGCGAACGCGCGCGAAGGAGGACAGCGTGCAGTTTGTCACTGCGAATGCGTTTGCATTTGCTCTTGACTTTGCTGTTTGTCTTCGCACGGCCCGCGCCGCGGGTGTCGGCGACGGCGCCCCCCCATTGCCGCTTTGTTCTGAGCCCGCGGAGATGGCATGGGCCATGATTGCCATGCTCGGCCACGGGCCCCCCTCAAGATCCACCGCCCTCGCGGGGGCGCCAGGCTGCGGAGACTCCGCCAAGAACGCCGTGTTGTTGCATTCGTACTGCATGTTTGTCGTTTGTGTCCAGTCAGCCTTACCCGGCTCTACTTCCACTATTTGCTTAACGGGCCAGACCCGCCCCCCAAAACAGCGCGCCACGGGCAGGCGGGGGGGCGCTCATTGCCCCAGCCGACACAGAATACCTCAGCTTCACCACCATGGCGCCGCCGAGCGGCCCGGAGGGCCCAAGGCCGCACAGACTGCCCCAGAAAGCTTTCCACGGGCCCCTGGAACCCAGGACGAGCGTTGAGGGCCCTCACGCGGCTTCGAAATGGCCCTGGATGGCCTCGAGACGCCGCCGAGAAGACATGGCACCTTAAGATGCAATAGAAGTTTTTGCAATGCTTGCGTTTCCCAAGTTGCGCCCCCCATGTGTCCGGCTAACGACGCGAGGCGGCCCGCGCGGCCCGTGCCATTGCCCCGAGCGGCCCCACGGCGGCCTCCAGGGGCCTCGAGGCGCCGCCCAAACAACCCAAGATGGCACAACGATGCCCCAAGATGGCCGCACCGTGCCCTTGCGACGGGCACCAGAGGCCTCAGGATGGCCCCCACAATGCCCATGCTGGGCCGTGGCTAACCCCCAGGGCACCGATATGCACCCGAAAGGCCTCGCGATTGCCCCGCACTTGTTCCATGCAGCCAAAAGGCGGCCCTTGCCTTGGGGGGCGGCGGATGGGGGCGCAACCTTCCGAATGAGTAGCTTCCCTTTGGCTTGCCTCTAGCTTGCGCGGCTCGGAGGGGGCAGCAAGCAAGTGCACTCGGCGATGGTAATGGCGATAATGGCGATGGTGTTGATGAGATGTTGCATCACCAGTTGCTCAGCAAGCCCTCCACTGGGCACACCGCTGGCTCAAGATCGTTGTCATCGAGCCATAGGCGCCACATCCGGGCGATCAAGGTAAACGCAGCCCCGTCCCGGCCAAAATCGCACCAGGGCTCGGAGTCCCGAGCGTGGCCGGCGAGATGGATTGACCACGACTGGCGGCGCCAGTCGTTCCAGATACTACACTTTGGCGGAAGGAGCCTCTTCAATTGCCACTGCTCCAGGGTACCCTCAGGGAGAGCATTGCGCGCCCTCTGGCGCACCTCTTCGATGTCATCCAGGGGCGCAGCGGCGGCCGCGAGGGAGGAGCCCTTTACCTTCTTCATTGCTGGCGGGCCAGCCTTCTTGCCAGCGGCCTTCGCCTTGAGAGCCTTTCGTTTTGCTTTCCATTGGTCCCTGAATGCTGCCCTGCTGGACTTCCCTGTCTTGTTAGCTTCCTGCAGTTCTGTGTGTGCTTTCTTTTCGTCCTGGGTCAAAGTGCCCTTGAACTCCTCGAAGTGTTCCAAGGCCCTCGCATCCCTGATTGATTTCGGCTTGAACGTGCGAGCTTGCAGGATTTTCAACACCTGGTCATCATCAACCTTCAGCACTTGCTTAACGAAAGACCATAAGAAGTCGAAGAACTCCGCCCCGTGAGGCAATTCGTAGTCGAGCCGGGAAGCAATCTTAAGGAGGGTGGGTTCTGTCAGAGTGTAGAAAGCAGCACGGGCTGCGACGTTGATCAGGGGCTCCACTGGGCCTTCGGGAACCACAGCTATGCGCCTTCTGCTCTTTCGTAGCCATTCTCCATCTCGCTGCATGGCGAGCTGGAAGAAAGGCGACGCCCAGAAAAAGCGACAGCCCTCCCACTCTTTAGGGTCCGAGATTATCAACGTCGACCATCCAACATGCATATCCATGTTCTCAGCTATGCTACCGAATTTGGAACTCGTGGCCGGAATGTCGTGCCACTCCAAAGGGATACCAATTGGACAACAATCAGAGATTGTTCCCAACACAACATACCACTCTGATGTTCCAACTTTCCTGACGATCAACCGGTTGTGCTGCAAGAGGGGTGTGAAGGCTTGCGCGGCGGCCATGTCCTGAAACCGGCTCAACTTCGCAGCACACAGAAGGTCGCCTATGGTGTCGTGCTCAGAATCTGCCCCGGGACTGTACCACCCTGGTTTTTCGACCACCCAGGAAGTCCTTTCAAGGGGGCCCAGGAAAACGCTTCTGAGGGCTCGAAGTAATCTGGATTGATGCAATCCTCTCTCAAATAATCCGTGGGCGGGGCATCCCAATCGAAGCTGTGTTGGGCCAACAGATTGGACTCGTAGAGAGCATGATAAGCAGCGTCGTGGGCAACCCGCCGCACAGCATTGCGACGGACCCGAGTGTTTTGGGCACGATGCCCCTCTTCAATAATCTTCGCGCTCACCGAGCGCCTGAAACGCCTGCGCACGAGGGACAACACGTCGGGGTCATCCGCTTTCCACTCCGAGTTCTTCAAAGCGTAATAGAATTGCAATACGGACGTGTGTTTCAAATGTGACAGAGATGCTTTCTCCCTGCAAGCGGCGGAATCACTGGCTTCCATTTTCTTCAACAACTCAACCTGCGATTTGAAATCGCCCGCAACACTCTGCCCGGCGTCGCCGAGAAGAAGGGCGCACCTCCGAGGGAAGCCGCACATGAAATCAAGCCCCCACTGAAACCGAGAGAAACACACGCCAAGGACCATGTCACCCACGTAACCCGCCAATTCGTTTTGCTGCTCGATGTGCGCCTCGAGACCGTCATCCAACAAATCCTTCTCATGGAGCGTGGCTTCAATGCCCCACCGGTCGAAGTTGGCTACAGAGCACGCAACGCCAAGTGCATCCCTGATGTGGGACCAGTAATCCCCACTGCACTGGTCCAAGAGCCACTTGCTGCTGGCAGTGACCCCCTTCAACTCTTCAGCCTGCTTTTTGAACCAACTCTGGAGGGGCTGGGTTGTGTCGCATATGATCCACTCTTTGTTCCAACTCTCCACGCTGGCATACATGCGATTAGCGCGCCAAACTGGATGTTTAGCCTGCGCCTTCAATTCGAAGGCTTGCTTCTTAGACGCGGCCATACTCACCGGCGCACTATCCTTGGAAGAACTGGCGGCGGCATTCCCAGCGGCGGCAGCTGCAGGGACAGGAGGCTTAGAATGCAGGTTCAAGTCGACCGCCAAGTTCGCGAGGCCGTACAGCCTCTCTGCCCAGCACTTCGACTCGGTATTCTTGGAACGGTAGATATAACCGAAGAACTTGCTGTTTGTGAGCCTCGGGGGTCTGCACACCGGATCGGGGATATTCCCCAAACAGTGATTGCACTTAGGGAGTCTACCTTTGTTCTCCAACATTTTGGATGAGCCCGCCAAGGTTTCGCCACGCTGCCGCACAATGAATCCACCACATAGCTTGCACAACATAGTTTATAGATTACACAGCGTAGCTTGCCCCACGATGGTTGCACCACATAGCTTACACCACGTGGCATAGACAACATAACACATTGCCGACACATCCACAGCGCACTACGCAATTTATGGTTTGAGGTCCACGCTGGCTAACGTAGGATTCGAAATGCAACGAAGTTTTTGAGGGGCTTGCCAGAGGGGCACCCAAGTACATGCGTCATGGGGCTCTGTCGGGGCCGTCTTGGGGCCCTCCTGCCCCCCCCCGGGAGCCCTCCCACCTTGTCCTGGCACCCTCTTGGTGCTCCAAAAAGCCCCCTGAGGATTCCGAGAGGGCCTCAAGAGCGCCCCAAGGTGGCCCCAAGAGGGCCCTGCAGGGTGTCACTTTCACGGGCGCTGAAGGTGACACCCTGAAGGGCCCTCTTGGGGTCCTCTTGGGGCCTTCTGCGTCACTCCTGGCCCCTCCTTGGGCCCCCTCGGGAGCCCTCCTACCCTGTCCTGCCCCCCCCCCCCCTGGGCTTCCAAGGGGGCTCCCAGAGAGCTCCAACAGGGCCTCCAGAGTGGCCCGAGGGGGCCCCAAGAGGGCACTGCAGGGTGTCACGTTCACGGGCGCTGAAGGTTACACCCTGAAGGGCCCTCTTGGGGTCCTCTTGGGGCTCTCTTTGGGGCCCTCCTGGCCCCCTCTTGGGCCTCCTCGTGACCCCCCCACCTTGTCCTGGCCCCCTCTTGGGGCTCCAAGATGGCCTCTAGAGGGCTCCAAGAGGGCTCGAGAAAGCCCCAAGAGGGCCCGAACCCAACTCGATGCATAAAGTTGGGTAGGGGCCCTCGTCCTTTTGCCCTCTCGTCCTTGCGCCCTGGCCTGGCAGGATGAATGCACAAGGGACGTTCGGGAGAGCCCGCCCCAAGCTCGTGCTCGATCGCCGTCGGGCCAGACTTTGTTGTGCGAGGCCCATACCAACCAGAAAGTTTGCCTCGGCCCAAGGGAGCGGGCGCTTTTCTTCCAGGATCCTGGCGGGACATACGCTGCAAATACGGATGGGGGTTCAAAATTCGTCGACGAGTGCTTCGAGGACATGGCTTTGCAAATCTGCCCTGCGAGCGCGGCCGAAACTCGGGGCCTTGCTTCGGACCAAAATGAAAAACATATGCCGACTGAATGCGCCATGTGGCGCCGAAGGAATGCACCCAGGGCTGGGCTGAGAGGGGGAGGAGGGGGAGAAGAGGAGAGGGAGAGGGAGGCGAGAGAGGGAGGGGGACATTAATGGCGTTTGAGTCGGAATCCAAACACACGGCCGCGAACACCAGCAATGGCCCTGGCCTGGGTCACGATAAAAACAACAATTGCGCGGCGAAGATGCGAACATAGAAATGCATTCGCGGAGGGGAACAATAGGGAATAAGATGGTGGGCAAGGGGGATAATCCCGGCCTGCACCCCCCCCCCCCCCCTCCTCTTTTCAAAACGTCGCCCTCCGCCAGGGCCCCGCCGGAGCAGACACGCGGAATAATCGGCCCCCTGCCCCCCAACGCCTCCAAGGCGCAGACTCGACTCCACGATGCCGCGCGCGCGCGTTGCCGCTGTGAACGGGCCACCGCCCAACCTCCTTATCGACCACGAGGGGCACGCCAGAGCGCGACAACATAAAAACAAACAAATCATCAAATCTTCTTGTTTCTGGAAACTCTCCGCTCCGCCCACGCCCCCGAAAGCAATGCAGGCATTTCAAATGCCACAGGTGGGCTACCCGCGGCGACGGGCCTTCGCACCTGAGAGGTGCAAGGGCGTTTTCGGGCGCAGCGCGCGCCGCCCCCCCCCCCCGAGCATGGCGAATGCCAGCCAATCCTCGTCTCAGACTCGTCCCAACAAGTGCGCTGCTTCAACTCCTCGTACACCTGCTCGGCGTGTTCCGCCGTCCAAGCTCCGTTGGGAGGCGGCCGGTCCCGTTCGAACACAGCCGAGCAGTGCCGGAAAACGGCGTCGTAAGCTGGGCCCCCGGACGTGGCCAAAGTGTCCTGCAGGCTGGCCTTCACCTGCTCTCGCCGGGCCTGGTCTCTCCACTCGCCAAGGCCGATGTTGTAGGCGAACGTCATCAGGTAGGAGTGCGTTTTGAGACCAGCCCGCGCCATCCCATGGCTTGCCGAATGGTGCGCCCCGTGGCAAGGATCAAACACCCAATCCACGTTAAGCCTCAGCTTGTTGACGAAAAAATTCCGCAGGCATAAACAATCCGGCCCCTTGTCGGAAACAAGACCGAGCGAACGCCACTCCAAAGGCTTCACACCCTGCTCCAGCCCGCTAGGTTCAATGCGGAACGAGCTGAGCTGGAAGCCGACGGACTTCAGGGTCGAGTTGAGACAGACGGACAGCTTATATGACTTCGTGCGGTGCTTGAGGCGCCTGCCGGCGCGCAGGGGGTGCTTTCGGCCAGAAACGAACAAGTTCTGTGAAGAGTTGTTGTGGACCGCGGCCTCCTCTCTCGCTGCCGCCTCGTTCCCCGCCGCTTTCTCGGCGCCCCTCTCGGCGCTGAGATCGGGCAGCACCTCGGGCCCCGCGACGCGGCCCGCACCCCCTGGGCCCCCCCCCGCGGGCCCCCCCGGGCAGAGGCGCCCAGGAAAGTTTAGATGGCCCCAGGGATTCAGCTTAGACGCCCAGAGAAAAAAAACTTATATAAACTCAACCTAAGACCATATAAGATTTTTTCCAAACCAGAAGTCTCGAGCGGGAGCGCCGCCGAAAGTTTATATAAACAGAAAAACTTGTTTATAGAAGGACCAAAAAAAGTTAGATTGGGCCAGGTACCTCAAGGCAAACGCCCCTGACCTAAACTTTTGCCCGGGCTCCATTTCCAGAGGATTTCCCTCGCGGCGAACCGAAGGCCCGCGGGCCCGACGCGCCCCCCCCCCCCACGGGCGTGCTCTCCCCCCAGGGGCCCGCCCTCCCACCGCCGTGCGAGTGCACGCGGCGCAGACAACGCCTGCGCCGTGTCGGAAGGGCCTATGTCCCCCCCAAGCACCCAAGCACGCGGCGAAGTTGCACGGCAAGGCGAGCACGGCGTTCTGGCGCGCCTTGCACCCGACGCGGGCGCCGTCAAAGGCTACTGAAAGAGAGAGCGCGCCAGCGAACTTGTCGTTGGCAGCGTGGAGGCGCGCGACGTTCCTGCGGGCCATCTCGTGCGTGTCCAGGTTCTTGTCCGGCGGTCGCCTCAGGTGTTCCGCGGGGGCCCCGTTGGGGACGCCCGACTGGAGCACCGCGGCACGCTCCACCTCGAGCTGGGACTCGATGCCGTGGGCGACGGCGCTGATGACGTCCTTGTAGGCCGGCACCTCGTTCACCAGGAGAGCCTCGATGAAATCGACCAGCGGCACGGCATTCAAGGGGTGACTCTCTGCTGCATGGGACGTGGCCTTCTCGATCGCCAGCGCGAAGCGCTTGAGCCTCTTTGGCCCGACGACGTCGCACACTGGAGTCGCGTCAACTTCGAGACCGCTGACCCTGAGGCTAACCAGGGTCACGTGCCTGGCGGCCTCGGTCGTAACGCCGCTGGGGTGCACCTCGCAATCGCTGAAAAAAAACAGCTCCATGCAAGTCAACGCCGCCCTGGCGCAGAAGCTCGTGAGAAGTCGCTTGGACATTGCTGCAGCCTCTGGCGACGCGCATCCGCCAGCCTCAGGCTTCTTGAAAGCGAGAGTGCACATTATTGCTACGAGAAGGGCCGTGACAGCAGTCGGCTCTTTCGCACACCTGCAAGGCTCACCATCGAGCAACGGAGCTGCCCGGTCGTCCTGGGCAACCGCCCTCCGAACGCATGGCAGGCCCATGCTGGCTGCCAGATTTGTCCAAGCTTGTAGCCGTTTGCCGATGACCCGTGAGCTCCACTTCTTCTTGCCTTTCTGGAAAGGCAATAGTACCTTTCTCACGAGAGTAGGTAGAGACCACCAAAACTTCTGCCTGTGATGCTCTTTGACGAACCTATACGTTCTGAACTTCGTGATGTGATCATCCCCTGGAAAACGCACACCACTATCAAAGATGGAATGCGTCCTGGCGTACTTGTCGAAAGCCACCAAATCAGGACCGAACAGTGTGCAGCGCACCATTTTCCTGCCACGAGGCGTGTACACATTAGAATCCAGAAAATCTGGGAGCCAGATCTCGCACTCCGTATTGTCTATGTATACGAATGGAACGCCAGCCTCGCTCAACTCCAGTTCCCACTCCCCCTCCGCGTGCACAGGATGCCTCTTGCACTCCCCGGTAACGTTATGGTACACCCATTGCCGCCGCTCGCAATCGCGAAGCAGCTCAAAGGCGTCTGTCACAAGCGCACCCTCGCCAGGATCGCCCATTGTTTGGACGACCCTGGCACGCACGGCTTAAATGTGGCAGGCCGCTGGAGCCGCCTAGTTCGAGCCCAAATGTGCCAGTCAAAACGCATGCTGCGAAACGCAATTATCAACGACCCTAGACCCGAAGCGAAACGCAATTATCAACACGCCCGCGCCGGCACGGCAAAGCGGCCCAGACGGCTGGGGCAACGCCATCCCACTCAAGCAGCAAGCGGGCTCGCGACCGTTTAGATTGCCACAGGGCCTCGCGACCGTTTAGATTGCCACAGGGCCTCGCGACCGTTTAGATTGCCACGGGGCCCCGCGACCGTTTAGATTGCCACGGGGCCTCGCGACTGTTTAGATTGCCACGGGGCCTCGAGACCGTTTAGATTACCACAGAGCCTCGCGACCGTTTAGATTGCCACGGGGCCTCGCAACCGTTTACATTGCCACGGGGCCGTGCAGTTTAACAGAAAATGTCTTACAACTCTGAGGGCTACGTTGTCGTACCATACAGGTGCCACGACGCGACGCGACGGCATGCACCAAACAACTCAACTGTAAAGTTTTTCTGCTACCCAGCGGGGGGGGAAATTCGTTACGTTTCCCCCTCCCCGGCAGACCGAAATTCGTGACATTTTCGTTGCGTCATAGGGTTGTGATTTATGTGAGAACCCCCGAGAGCGTGCGGCAGAGCATTTGAAACAGCCGTTTCAAGGCGACTCGCCTGGGCATCTTCCCTGGATGGGCCGGCGGGGATACGCGAAGCGTCAAGAATTCCCACCAGCCCTTCAGGGCGCGAATGGTTTTGTTCGCTTTCTCCTCCAACACCGCTGACTCCCATTCGGACAAGAGTTTGCCCCTCCCCCTGCCCCCTACCCCTGAGTCTGGACCGGGGGCTTTCGCGAGGGGCTCGAGCGGCTAACATGGCCCAGAATGGCCCCAAAAAGGTTTCGAATTGGGGCCCCTGCGAACGTGGCCGAAATCTGAACCCCGAATTGCGACAAGATGGCCTGAGCTGGCACCGACAAATGGCCCCGACCAGCGCCGTCAGAATGCACCACAGGCGGACTAGCAGAGCTGGAAGAGATTGAGGGAGAAGCAGGAGAGGAAGGACATGAGAGGGAAGGAGGAAGGCTATGACACTCGAGCCAGGGTCCAAAAAACAACCGAGAAAACCAACAATGGCCCTGGACCCAGGCTGGGGATCAAACCTCAAACGGTGCGAAAATGCTGGCCGCTATAACGATCCGAGCTCACCCTACTAACGTATCGGCGCAACGTGGGGGGGGCGAGGGAAAGCCATGATATGAGGGAAAACGCATTGAGGACTAACCTGGCCGACTGAGCATCGCCGCAATCTGCCCAGCAAGTCCAGGATGATGAAGAGCGGGAGGATGACGAGGATAATCATCAAGGAGAGCGCAGACAATGACTGGGGATGCGGAGCGCATGGAAGACGCGGACCACGAGCCAGCAGCAGCAACAGGAAGAAGGGCGCGAGGGACCGGGGGCGGGGACTCGGAGGAAGGAGTCGACGGTAGCGAAGGAGGTCGCTACCAGGATTGCTGTGCTGACCCTCCCCGCGATCCCCAATGGACGTTGGCGCGGCGGCCAAGGAACAAGTCCGCTGCTCTCGTCCGCTCCCCGCCCTCCCCCCTTCCCCTTTGGGCCCTCTTCCGCCCGACCCCCCTCCCATCCCCTGGCCCAAGTTTGCTTGCATATCCAAAACGCCTTGCCAATCTAGGACAGCCGCGGCCCAGCCCGCTGCGAACCTCCATATTATGTTTGTCGCTAGTGTCGCCCCCCTCTTTTCTCCTCCACTCACCCTTCGGGCGCCGCGCCCCTAAGAGCGAATGCCCTGCGAGAGGAGTCGGAAGTTCAACTCGTTGTGACGGGCTTGGGGCTGACACGTGCCAACATGTGGCAACAACTACCTGGCCCAGCTGTTCAGCCAATTTGTGGTGTAACTCCCATGGGCGCAGAATCATTGCGACAGTTGCGCGCGCGGCAACGTCCAGCGAATGCAAAGGAGAGTGTTTGATCCGCGATCGAGGCCACTCCGTTAATGCCCCAACGGCGCAGGAAAGCAACGACAGTTGCACGCATAGGCGAACACATGGACGGCCAGGGATACAGTTCCCTGCGTACGGCGCCACTCCTGAGGGGTACCCAAGGATCAATCAGGAGAGTGCCCGCACTGGGGGCGGCAAATAGTGATCACAAAAGGGCGCGGCGAAACTGCTTTCCACTGCTTTTCCACGCGCTCCCGCGCCCCCGAGAAAGCAGGGCGCCTCTGCGACGCCCTACTGCACTGAACTGTCGCAGTGCTAGGCGGACCCGTCCTGCAATCAAGCAGCCAGGTCACTATCAAAATCAACTCTCGGCACCGGTGGTCTCAGGCTCTTCCCTCGGCTTCGCCGCGATCGGGGCGCGCATGGTCCCTCTCGGCTGGCGCTTCGCGCGTGCCTTCGCCATCCCCTCCTTCTTATTCTCATCGGCCGTCTTCAAGATGGACTGGTGGTTTCCGATGTCGGCCTTGGCCTCCTCTGCCTCGAGGGTCTTGGCGATACGATCAGCTGATGTCCGCATGCCGCTCTTGTCGAAGAGATCGGACATTCACACGGGCGGCTTCGCCCCGAAGAAACTCGCAAAGGTGGGTTTGATGGTACTGTTCGACAGGTTGTTGAACGCGGCACCCACGTCCGAGAGGTGCGCAGAAATGTCCCAATTCACTGGGTCAATGCGCTGGCCCTTCACGGTCACCTGCCATGGGGCGGCGCCAAGGCCCGTCGGGCCCCAGATTTTCAATCCAAATCTACGTGGGGAGCGTGGGGAGGGCCAAGGGGGACTACGGGGCCGAAGCTTACATAGGTAACAATGGGGGCAGGAAAATCAAAGACACTGTCGGCAACACGATGCTTTAAGATCGCCGGCCACCGTATGCTCGAAGTACTTGTGCGTCAGTGTCTTGAGGTAGGGAAGGTCCTGCTCGGGGACGCCGTCGAACTCATCCGGAGTGCCCTGGACAGGACGGCTCCACGCGAGCTCGTAGGGCAGCAGCTTCTCGTAGTCGATGCGCCCGTTGGACGACAAGGCCCGCAACAAGTCGCGGACGCGAAGCTCGCCCTTCAGCTGCTCGAACTGCCACCGTAACCACGCGGTCAGCACCACGCGGACGTGCAAGCGGGGCGGCCACCACGTCGTATCGTGAAGGCCCGTCAGGGAGCCGAAAACCAAACGCAACGCCTGCGGGTGGAACGCGTCAATCCTGTCCACCGTGTCCTGGTCAAGGGATGTGTTCGCGACCAGCCAGTGCGCGATGTAGTACTTCGGGATGGACTTGCAAATGGTGTAAGTGCTGTGCCACGAATCCGGCATCACGACGACCTTCTCGCCTGGCTCAGCGGCCTGCTCCTGCTCCTTCACGCACACCTGCTGCTGGTTGCGAATGAGGCCGCTCTCGAGGTGCCCCTTCGTCAGGAGGACCTCCGTCTTGTTGACCACCAAGTACTCCATATCGAGCGAGCGCATGGGCCAGAACTGGGTTGAGGCTGGCCCTGGCCCTGGTAACCTCATCATTTTTCGCCGTGAGCTGAGAGCTGCTGGCTTTGGCACCAGGAGACGCCTTCGTCACATCTGGCTCCTTCTTCGCAGGCTTGCATTCCCCGGTCAACCTCGTGTGAATGGCTTTGCCCAGGCCGCCGAGAAAAAGAAAGTCCGCAAGCAGCAGCAGTCGATGGCCTCAGACACCTTGAGCCGAAAACGCTTGGCCCCACGATGCATCGACGACGCCATCGAATGCGACAGTAGGCAAACCGAACCTATGCACGCATGCGGGGGGCGACGATGCCACCAGGACTACTGACCCCCGCGGGGCAATGAGAACTCGCGCGCCGTCCGCGAAAGAAACGATAGGAGGAGGGTAGAATAATGAATGCAAAAGCTACGAACCGAGCGCGAATCAGCGAACCCCGCCAAACTCCGCCCTCTCCCATAACATACGCGGCTAACGCTGACGCAGCCAAGCAACTCAACGCGCGAGCAGGGCCTGGCCATGGCCTCGCGCGTGGGGTGTGCGAGCGCCAAGCGGCGCCGCGCGTTGTTTCATCGGCGTGGCACCAGCAGCCACGACGTAGCACCAGACACGCCACACCGTATCATCTGAAAACCATAGTTGCGGGGGCTGGGGTCGGATCCCCGCCCTTCAACCTTCACAGGTAGGCCACCGAGGTGGGAAAAACCATCAGGGGTGGATGGGAAACACGCACCCCCAACACGCCACACAGACCTACACGCTCCCCATCGACATCGCGAACCACGACAGTGCACGCAACATCGCCAACTGGACCACAATCGCTGCAGGGATGAACCAGACGAGCGACGGGAGCGCAGCAGCCACAGTGGCCAGATCCCCGTGTGATACAGGGTGCGCCGCCCGAGCACGGGCCCCTCCTGACACCTACCATCAACCTCGGCCTCTTCGCAGCAGGCGGGCGAACCTGGAACCTCAACTGCCCCAAAAACCGCGAAAAAACGACCAGGTCGACAGAGGGAACCAGCTACTGCACACAACGACCCTCAGGCTGCACATCGCCCACGCCACAGGGATTCTGACCATCATCGAGAAGCGACCACCACGTACATTTTTTAAACCTAACCAGGGCCAAAAGTACAACCACGGACACGGCACTCTTGCATAACTGCTCGGACGCGACGAAAAAAAGGACGCGACGCAGCGCTGCGGCCAAGAAAGACCCACGAAACTCAACAGGATAATTACTAGCAGCCGCCTTCTCCGAAGCAGGGACCAAACGACGGCAAAGAGCGAACTCCCCTCACAAAGGGGACATCGAGGACTCCGACGCCGCGTCGACAACGCCCCGTGGACCCGTACGACGACTTCCAGAGAAGCAACCGACTGCAGGGCACTCCTGCGGCGGGTCCTTGTTGAGATCTGTCGCGAGCCACGGCCGCAGGTTGAGCAAGTCGTGAGTACAGTCGGTTGTCCACGGACGGATGTCGTCGAGTAGCCCACACTCCTGCTCGAATGTGTGGACTGTCTAGATATCCTGCCTGGTCCTCGTGCTCGCACTCTGCAGCCCGTTCATTTAGTGGAGGTCCGCGGTCGGAATTGTGGGCGGCGAACTCCCCCAGGCCCCAGGTAATACTGATCTCTGCCTTGTCCCCGAGGTGACAGTCGGGATCATAGCGCCGGTAGCTTTCGGGTCTTGGCCGAGACCTTGAGCCAAGTGTCTGCTGCCCCTGGGTCAAACGGGTCTGCGTCTCTATGCCGGGGAGGGGGGCTGTCTGATGTGATCGTGCTGCGGGGTTTCTTCACCAGAGTCACTCCCACTCGGTGCCCAGGTGGAGGAAGAAAGGCAGCCATGCCGCCGATCAGGCGCACGACGTCCCCGGGCAGACGTACATGGAGTTCTAGTTCAGCGGTGCACTGTCCAGGGACATGCCCCGAGTGGGGTGCGCCGCACCGGTGGCTGTCCATCTGGAACCGCCACTCCCTGGCGTGCCGAAGCGACCGACGTAGCACAGCGGAGTTCGAATGTTTTGTTTGTTTTCTTTTTTGTTGTTGTTTCCTCCTCTCGTGTCCCTGCCGCTGCCTCCCCCCACGGCAAGCACAGACACCCCGCGCGCCCGCGGTGAGTGCGGGGGGGAGGGGGGGGCACGAGGAGGAGCTGTTTTTTTTTTTTTTTTTTTTTTTTTTTTTTTTTTTTTTTTTTTTTTTTTTTTCCTCCCAGCCAAAGCCAGGCGAACCCCGAACCCACCGCCAGCTGGTCCCCGCCGCCGCTGGCTGCCCCTGCCGTCCCGCTCTCAGCCGCTGCCGCCAGCCCGCCACCGCGCTGGCGTCCGCGTGGGCCCCCCGCCCGCAGCTGCCGGGCGCGCCCGCGCGGCAGCGGGCAGCGGCCGCGGCCGCGGCCCAGACTCGGCAGCCCCACTCCTCCGTCGCTGGAAGGCCCTGCTCTCGCAGCCCCGCTCTGACACCACGGGTGTACTGCAGTTGGTACAGCGCCAGTGGGGGAGGTCACACGTATTGTAGCCAGTGTGGTTTTATGTTCGGAAACAGTACGTGCTGTCGAGGCAGGGCACACATATGCAGAATTGCCGTTCGGATCACTACCTGTGCCCACCAGCACGCCAGAATGACCGGTGACAGCGCCCCACAAACACCACGACACGATCGTGCATCTGGACGCGATCCGCAACTTCTTCGACGGAAAAAGCACGCCCCAAAACACCAAGAACAAAGACAGCCAGAGCTCAGCAAGAAAGGCTCACAGACCACGCAACCGAACCGCCGCAGGGATCAAAACAGCCCACAGCGGCACCGTACGCGTCGGGGAGCAGCCAGCCTGGTAACTGTAGCACGTGTTCCAAAAACGCACCCCACCTCGACCAGCGGACCAGCCTTACGAATCAGGAGACGCCCCCAGGACCACACGCGAAAGACAAGGCACGGGCCTCCCGATGGACCCGCCGAAGGCGGTCAATCAATGCACGCACACGCCCGCGGTCAGGTGCTCCATCTCCGACCCACACCCCGCCACTAATATCCACCCAAACCGCTGCCCGTATGGGACGCCTCGTGGGAGACAGGAGGCCCGCATCGAACACCTGCTTTAACCGCACTCCTGCAGGGGCCCACCCTCGGATTTAACCACCGCGGGCCGCGCAGGGGCATACAGCACCAGACCAGTGAATCGGGCTCTCCCCCGTAGCTCCGTGGACGGGAGCCGCCCCCTTCCAGTGGCAATACGAAGCGCCCTTTTGCTCCTCGGTCTTGAAGCCCAGACACACTGCTTGCCCGCTTCCTTGTAGCCCCCGCCCCAAGCCCCCCCCCCCTCCCCCACCTCCTCCTTCCCACCTGTGCGGCGGCGGAAGGGGCGGAGAGTAGTTCTGTCATAGGTGGGACACGGGGCTGAGGCATCACCGCCCGCCCTTCTGGCGAGGGCCAGGGCGGCCGCGGCCAGCAGAAAAAACCACACCAACGGGCAACGCCCCTTGCAGCCTAACCCTCCACAGCCAGGAGATCAGACCTGTCACTTTCCCGCCAGGCGTGGCGGAGGTTTGTGCTCCCCGTGGCGGTGGCACGGTTCAGGGAGACAACCCCTCTAAGCCTACATAGGCGTTCGGGCGTGAAAAGCGTGAGAGTGGTGAGGGGGGGGTGTTTTAGGATGCTGCCCCTCGTTTTGCTAGTTACCCTACGCCAGTTCGCAAATGAGAATGCACTTCGCTGGGCCGGTGGGCGCTTCTGGCGGTTTCTCACGGGAAGAGGCGCGCACTTGTGCCTTACATCTCCGCGAGAGGGGCACCACACACAGGCACAACACAGGGCCAACTCTCCACCAAACCACTGCCAGGGAAGGCGGGGCGCCAAGGCTCAGGTGGCGGCCGACGGCGCTGGGCAACGGCAGGCCACGGAGTGCCTCAGCGCCAGCGGCACTGCCGCCGGCAGCATCACACCACATCACACCACATCACACCACATCACACCACACGACACCACACCAGACCACAACACAACACAACACAACACAACACAACGCAACACAACACAACACAACACAACACAAAACACAACACAACACAACACAACACAACACAACACAACACAACACACAACACACAACACCCGACACATCGCAACACAACACATCGAAACAAAACACAACACTATACATCACAACACACAACACAGAACACACAACACGCAACACACAACACACAGCACACAGCACATCACACACAACACACAACACATAATACACAACACACAACGCACAGCACACAGTACACAACACACAAAACACAACACACAACGCACAACACACACCACACAACACACAGCATGCAACACACAAGATGTAACACACAACAAACAACACACAACACACAATACACCACACACGACACACAACACGCAACACACAACATGCAACACACAAGATGCAACGCACAGTACACAATACACAACACACAACACGCAACACGCAACGCAACGCAACGCAACATAATACAACACACACACACAAACGCACACACATACACATACACACGCACACACGCACGCGCACAATACAACACCACACACACACATAAACACACACAAACAACTACACCACCACATACAACACCACACCACACCACCCCACAAGACAACACAATACAACAAAACACAAAACAACACAACAAAACACACACGCGCGCGCACGCACGCACGCACGCACGCACGCACCACACACACACACACACACACACCACATACAAAAATATGCAAAAAAACCTACACACACACACGAAAAAAACAACACCAAAACAAAATTGCCAATGCCCTTGCGGTGCTCGAACAAACATATATATATATATATATACACACATACGCATACGGAACAAATAGGCGAGGCGGGCAAAAAGGCATCCTGACAGTTTCAGCAAGTGCCCTGCAGCTTGATTGAAGACGCCTGCCGTGGGAAACCCCTCTGAACGGAGACAAGGGAACGAGATCGAAGACTCACCCCGCACGTGGACTTGGGCAGCGTCATAGGGATCGAAAACTACCCTGGATG